TGATGTTGCTTTTCCTTCAAGTTTTCATGAAACAATTTTGCTAGAGAATAAATATTGAGAAAAAACATGCTTCTCTTGCTAAACACTGAGTAATACCAACCTTAGGACAGAGGCTAAAATACAGTGAAGTACAGTGTAGTGTTGTAATGTGAACAACATTGAGTCTTTGCAATGAACATATCAGTGTGTCCAAATTTCATCCACTGCCTGCCCTAAATTCATAAAAACCACGCCAGTGACGCTGCTCCTCTTTGCGTGAACTGTGAGAACATTACCCTCTTCAAGAAGGACAAGGGGGAGGGGGACTTACCACCTTTCATTTAATATCAGAGTAAGCTCTTGCTCAATAATAATGTCCTATTGTTTCTCTCAGGATTATTTAATGTATATGTGAAGCCATTTAACATAATCAGCAAGTGTTTGCGATCATTTTTGCGATCAACCCAAGACGGTCTTTCCTTCAGGCTATAAACAAAGGAACTCAGGCATAAGGACCTGCTCCCTTCAAAGAGCCATAATCGCCCAACATTACTGAGCTCTGAAGAGGATACATATCTTAACTCTGATCTCACCTGTAGTCTGTGAAGGCATCCAGCAGGTCGTCCGTTTTGAAAATAGCCGGAAAGTCATAGATCTCGATCACGTGACGAAATCCATCCGGACTGATGCACACATTCTCATAAATAGAGAAGTCATTGTGGACGTGTTCAATGGAGAAGGACACTGCCTCTTTCAGGTGTACCTTGATCTGATAAGATAAACACAAAATAACTAACTTGGCATCAAAGAGAACATCACTAACAAAAACACAGTATAAAGCAACGGAAAATAAGAGATTTATTTTAAATACATGGGATTTTGTTCCTTATTATTTCACTATATGAAAATGTAGAAACAATGTCAGGAAAATCACACCTTCAAAAGTGTGAGTATGCTAACTTACCTCTTCAGTTACATCATCTGCATCTGTGCTGTCTTCTATCTGGGTGCTGTATAGCACACTAGCATTGTCCTCCAGAGTCATGTCAGTGAAGCAAGATACAGTCTGGTCCCAGACAAGGGCCTCAGCTTCATCCAACCTCAGCAACATCTTTTGTTTCTCTTCCAGAGCACAATGCACTGAACTGTCCTCAGTAAGGTTGTGGACATTGTCGGCTGCACGGTGGAGTGATTCTTGTCTGAATGTGGATGAGGACTTAGTGTTTTCTGTAGTTTCATGGCAGGAACAAGAGTCAGATGAGCTGCTAATGCAGCTACAGCTACAGGAGGCAGGACTTGGTAGCTCTTTATGAGCTGCGGGTTCTTGTGAGTTTTTCAGGGACAGTCTCTCCCGAGCAGCTCTTGGCATGTAAAGAGGTTTGTCGGGCCTCTTAGGTGTTCGGCTTCTTGATGTGATCGAAGGTTTAGGCTTGGCAACGCCATCCATCTCCTCCCTACTTTTTAGAGGCTCTTCACACAAGCTGTTATTGCTCTCCAAGTCACTGTCCTCCTCCATCTCTCCCCTACAATAAAAAGAGAAAATATTTATTAAAATATTTATCAAACACTACCTTGGATTTGCTATTAATTACTAACTTTAGTTCAACTTTAACGGTGCTATATGCAAGTCTCATTAAAAGCCATTTAATATAGTCATTGTGTTTTTGCAAGACAAGAGGTTAGAATACACCCTCTAGAAAGCTCTAATTAGTTATCCCCTCAAAAGTAGACTGAAAATTATAGTGATCATTAACACAAAGTGTTATTATTAATTGGGACAGGATGGGGCTAGCTTGTTAGTATGCCAAATTTAGAAGAAGATAGGTTATTACTTTCAAACCGTGGGGGCAGCTCTTGCTACATATAGTGCTAATGCTGTCTATTTAGCACTTTAAATGACCATTCTTTGTTGTAATGTATCCTGCACTGGAGAAACTAGCTGTAAATCTTGTCAGACAACTTTAATTCAGTTATCAGTTCAAATACATTTAATATTTGTCATCGAACTTGATCAAAAGAAGTCAGTTTCTCTTACTATTTAAAATGCTTATGATGATTAAAAGGATTAAAAACAATGAAACACAGCATAAAGTTTGGTCAACACTGTGCATATGATCCTCTGTTTGCATCAGTACCTGAGCTCAGAGTGGCAGACCGCCACCCTGCGACACCAACTTTCTCCTACTGAGAAGGTGGTGAGCTCTGGCAGGTCTTCTATGGTCTTGTGAATCAGGTACCGCAGTCTGCTGGGTAGAGACGGGAACAGGAGCACGCTGAAAGAGGACACAGAGATGCACTGTAAGAGGACTGCAGTTTCTTTGGACAATGTAAAAGCAAATGTTTTTAATTACATAAATGTGCCATTGAGGCTTTATTGTCACTGTAAATGTCTCATGAGATCATAGTTTCCTCTAGTGAGTACAGAGAGGAGAAATAATCTCACAAAACTTTAAGGGTACATAATAATCTGAGGATCAGTTGCAAGTCTGAAAAGGTATTGTTATTGAGCCAGTTTTAGTAGGATACACTCAGCAATGATGTGTTATACTCTTGCTGCCGTTGAGGACCAAGCCCATTTTCCTATGAATTACACAGCGATGATTCCATAATGAAAGAGCAGCAAGTCAAGCACAGACATGATAATAAGCTACAAAACGGTTTCCTTTCAAGAGTAAAGCGTGTTTTATTCCAACAAAACAAACTTCAGTGTGAATGACATCATTTCCCATGATTCTCAGTGACAATACCATTTAACCAGCATCCCCAGATGTTTATGATTGTACGACTTTACGACTGATGAGGAAGCTGTACAATTAAATGACTGGTTCTTCAAACTAACAACCTCCTGTGAGATTTGTGATGGAAGTCGAAGTGATGAGACACATGACTTGAAATGAAACAGCTGGACAGCTCACCTGTGAGCGCTCTTACCTCTCAGGGTTGTTGTTCTGCTGGTATGTGTCCAGCTCTTCCATGACATGATGCACGAATTCATTCTCTTGCTTTGGGAGATAGGTGCCATCGTAACAGGGGAACGCCAGGGTGGATAAAGAAGGAGAGGTCCTGTGTGGAGAAGCTGACTTTGACCTAACTAGCAGCGACGCCAAAAAACATCAAATCTAGCCAAATGTTGTTCCCGTAACGTTAGCTAAAAGTTAGCCGCGATAGTAACGAATGTGTTAAGTGAAGCAGAAAGCTACCAGCCTATGTTTTCATGTCTCAGACCACGCGTTATCAACATGCTACCATGTTAGCACGAATGTTGTGAATGTCAATAAACCGGAGGTTAGTTAACACTTATATTAAACTGAAGAGTCTTACCCTGGAGTCGTATTATGATATTTTATTGTGTAACTAACTAGCAAGCTAACTGACCGTCTAGCTTCCGGAAGCAGATGTTTTCTTTTTCTGGCCACAGCCAGAGATCCGGTTTGAGTTCTTCACAATAAAAGTCCTACAAATCTACACCGACAAGATAGTTAAAATGCAATGTTTTTAATTTTATGATGATAATTATTCAAACCAAGTTCAAATAAAAAACATTTTTGGAATACCCAATGCCCAAACATTTCACTACAGCTCATGTGCGCACCAGAACAAGAGACATACTCACATCTTCTCTTTTGTAGAAATACTCACATAAAGTCTTACATAAAAAATATTTTACCAAAAGTATATATTTTCTTAAAATAAATTGTTTTTTAATTCATTGTTTTCGTTTTAATAATTGAATAAAATTATGCATGTCACTACAGAAAAGTAATTTTTAATGTATCATCACTGAGTGTATATAACAAAACAAAAAATATGGCAGTTTCCTGCATTAGAATTGAGTAATAAGGATTATGTTAATTTTGGAGAAGAACCTACTTCAGTATCAATAGTCAGATTGTATAACAACATCACAATTTATTTATTGATTCGTTTTGTATTACTTATCAGAATCTGCTAAGTACAGTTGTTGAGTGAATGTGTTGGTTACTTACCATCACTGCATATGCGCTTTCGTTCTTAAATGAAGTTAAACATCAGGACTTCTACAGAGTTCAGGAAAAGACTTTTTATTTAGACAAAACAGAAGATTATTTGTAACAAAAGTAGCATTTGTGTGTGGAATTCAGTGTTTAAGGTTCCTGTGGTGTTTGGTGACAATGAAATATTGGGATGACATTCACAATATAGATAATTACTCTAAGGAGAAAAATGGCACAGGACTGCTGGGTATGATTTGGGAGATTCAGTCCAGTTGGGTTATGACATGGCAGAGACAGATATTTCTCAAAATGTATTAGGTCAGATTTTTGTTTTATGATTGACCTATCAAAAGCAAACACGCTCCATGTTTGGTGTCATAAAAATCTCCAGTCCAATGTGTGCGTTTCACAAGAGTTTCCCAGCAAAAAGTCACATTCATGTACAAATGAGAACATTTGCCCCAACACAGACAACAATACTGTGGAATACAACCCATAACAGGACTTAGGTTTAAAGACAGTTCCAACAACTCAATCCCTTCATAATTCTAACCCAAACTCTTGAATGACAACACATTTGACTTGCAAAACAATACACAAGTCAAATCCCTCATGATAACGATGGTCAAAAGTGGCATTTGTCACAATGGCCCATTAACGGAGACTGATTTTGATTAAATAGGACATGATTTATAAATGTATGTATTTTGACAGTGTCATATATTTTTCTTCTTTGGGTTCTGTGCCTCAGTAGATTCAATTTTAAATCATTATAGATAATAATAGATACAAATACTAAAGTGTCATGTCTCAGCTTTACTTTGAGATGGGTTATGAGAGAGAACTATGTGGGAGATGCCGCCATTTTAGTACATAGTGCCTAAGGTTAAGGGGTTTGAACAGATACACATGAAGTCAAACAAAACTTAATTTTACATTTTATGGAAAACACCTTGCTTGTTGCAGTTTCAGTTTTTTCAGTTTGAATAAACATTCCAACTCCACACAGCTGCCCAAGAAACATTTAGGAGCCAAGTGTCCAATTAGTAATGCAATGTGTTAAATGAGCTGCATCTCCCAAACCTACTCAAATTAAAGCTAAGATTTGGCAATTCAATGGATCTATTTTATTTTTTTTCCAAACTGAATGAGCAGAAGCAAAGAGCCTGAAGAGAAAACATGTAACTACTCAAACACTTTGATGTACTGTACATTATTTTATATATATAAAAAGACACATAACATAACATAAGGATAGGCAGACAGTAGAGAACGTATAAATAACAAAATATAAGAATCAGATCAAAATTATATACATCCATTCAGGTGAAGCAGATATTTGAATATATGCTTCCAGATAGATGAAGAGTATCTGGTCAGTCTTGGTTTATAGAGTAAAGGAAAAAGGGGGAAATCCTTTTGTTACTAAACAAGAGCCAATGGAGTTTAGTTTGTTAAGGCATCCTCGTAACTAAATTGCAGTTATTATCACATGATGGAATTAGAAGTGGTCAGTAATCGGTTTGACTACGGATAAGGAAAATACTGTCCTGATATTCTGATTTCTTATAGATCAAGAGGGTCACAGTGGAGCTCCCAAGATTTTCCCAGCGAAGCTGACTCCATTAAAGATTCTTCTATGACTGACAACATACCACAAGATTCTTTATCTTCCAGAGCCAACACTTCTGTCTTCAAAGATGGTGATTTCAACCTGGAAGAAAGCAAGTTAAGGAGAATATGCAATGCTACACACATGTTCTTCTACAATTAACAGGTAGAATACACAAGGTTGCACCAGCTTTTACAAATAGAATCAGTGTTGTTACAAGCTGTGTTGACACTAGTTTGTTAAGAGTGGTGTATAAAATTCAGCATCCTTGAGAGTTTCCAAATATACTCTCACCAAGTATGTAGATTGAAATATTTATTAGCAACAACAATAAAAATGGTTTTATAACAAACCATTTTCATGGGACATGGTTCATTGGAATGAATGCACATTATTTTGAACCTGAAGATGAAGATTACATTTACCTCCGGTGGCAACACACACTCTCTATGGCTCTGGCAGCACACAATATTGGCTTACAATTATCAAGTAGTTACCGCAACCTAAAGTCAACACAAAATGCCGAAAGCTTAAAAGCAAAGGATGGCTGAATTTCCCCCGAGATGATTACAAGATGTACAGCGATTGTTTGAAAACAATTCAGAGTAAAGGGAGGAACACAACAAATGTGGTCACAGAAATTGGAGTTGGAGCATTCAGCTGTATTAAGCACTGAAACTGTTACTAAGTGTTTAATTATTGTAGTTGTGTTAGGTTATATTCATTATGGGATTTTCTTATGTAAATGTGTTAAGAGTTTTCTTATTTATATTTGTCTGCAAGTTAAGTATGCTTAAACTGTTAACTGTCAATGTGTTAAATTTCAGCTTTCCTTGGCAATAAAAAAGACACTTATTGTTGACAGTTGTTTTGTGCTTTAATAAAAAGATACGCTCTGGTTCAGTTCAGTTCTGGCACCACTTAGGCAGTTTTAAAAGAATCGATTTAGCACCAGTATCGGCAGAAACCCAAACAATACCAAAACCCTAATGCTGTGTGTGAAAGTGATCTGACATTAGCCAAGCAAAAGATACAACTCGGAGGCCTCTCTCTATGGGGTCAGTGAGCAGCAAGCCCCTGGGAGCATATATCTTCTCATTCTGGTCCTTAATGTACCTGGCAATCTTCTTTAAAACCTGTACAGAGATAGTCAGAGACACATTCATGGAGCAGCACACAACTGTAAAATACTAGTTGTTATAGGATCTGCCGGACCCGCCAGGGACAAAATCACTTGAAGCCGTTTTACCTTCTCATAGTGTGTCTCCATACAGAGGAAGATTGCGTATGCAGTTATACAAGCCAGACAGCCCTCCAAGTATGACTTCCCCCCGAGCTTCTCTGCCTCTGCATACAGGTTGTTTAAAGTCTGGATGGTCTCCTCAAACTGCTGCTTATCAAGCTGAAACCATACAAACACACAAACCACTTAAAGGCCCAGTCCATGAACACTCAGGCTACAATGATGACATACGTGTGAATACATACTCTTGACTCCAGCTCAGAGGGGAACTTGGTCTGGAACTTGCAGATGGTTCCTGAGCTGTAGTCCCTCTGGATAAACACCTTGGACGAGACAGCTGGCTGCTGGAGGTCCTGTAAACTGTGGGTCTGGATAGAATACAATCAAATATGCGACTTGTGTTAAAGATGATCTTTGTGAAAGGCTGCAACAGTGGCACATACTGTGAGGCTAGTGAACACACTCAAAAGGAAATCGGGAAGCTTTAGCCACATAAGCTAATGTCTAATGTCAGTAAGCCACTAACCACCACGACATTTATTAATTTCTCTATATCAACGTACTCCTATGACAATCATCCATATATAACATACCACTGTAGGACCTTAATAAGTATGTTATGCTAAGATCCGTGTTTAATACAGGTTTAATGGTGTAATGTTAGCGAGCGCTAGCTAATGTTACGTTAGCTTACGTTTGATGAGCCAACGCCGCAGGGAAGTACGATGTTAGCCTGTATCTAGATCTGAACCGACAAATTACCACGACCACGTCTAACTATTTAGACAAATACATGACAAGCATTAAAAATTTAAACAGAAAAACACATTACCTCAGCCATAGCGACACTTCCTGAGCTGCACCGGCCAACTGAGAGTTCCCGATCACGGACTTCACAATAAAAGTCCTTTTAACATATACCCATGAATTACCACCAGGGGTTCTGAGGATGTATTTACCCTACCATTAGTCTGGATTTAAAATACACTGACACATTACTATTATACCCAAAAACGTAACTAAAGTATCCGTGACAATAGTCACATTCAATTTGTGATATGGACAGAGACCCATTATGGAGGTATTCCAGATGTAGGTTTCACTATCTGAAGTGGTTAAATATCATTTGAAGATGCATCAAAATTAAACATTGAAACTTGCAGTTAAAGGGGACAGATTACAGCCTACAGCATTACATTGCAAAATACTATTTCAATTTGAAAGGCCAACTTTAACAAAGTTGGAGGTCTCAATTTAGGAGAACTTGAGCAGTGTCCACAATAAATACACTGGACACTGAGAACAGGTACCATTAAATCCGCTATTCTCCCATCAATCAGACAATTCCAGTTACTTAAGTCTTGCACAATTGAAACAAATTTATATTTCACCCAATAAGCACAACAGTTAAACAGCTTTACCACAATGTCACCAGTTTAGAGCAAAGAAATACAAGTCACCAGAAGTTGAGATTTATTTTTTTTATTGAATCATGGTGTTTTTTGACTCAAATATAATTCTGTTCGCTGTATTGTTTAGTCGAACAGACCGAAGCCCATGTCATCGTCGGACTCCTCAGACTCTTCTTTAACTTCCTCCTTTGCAGCTGGAGCTGCCTCAGCAGTCTCAGCAACTGCTGCAGGTGCAGCAACGGCTGCAAAAGCAGATGGGTCAGCAAGGAAGGCCTTGACCTGTGAGGATAGAAGACAACATTAGTTTCAGATATACAAAGAGTTAAAGGCCCATTAAAAGTCTTCAAAGACAACACAATCATTTAAGTCTAAAAATGGAAACATTCTTTACACTAAATGCAAAACCACAGGTTACTTCTAAACCCTTCCTGCAGACAAACCAATGCCCAAGTTTTTGTTTAAAAGTGAACTCTGTTATACCTTGTCTGCCAGGGGGAAGGAGTAGTCCGTCTCCACAGCAATAGCCAGAACTCTCTTGTAGCCATTGATGACGGAGTGGGGGATGGAGGCCATGGTGGGGTATCCAATCTCCAGACACACACTAGCGATGTTCCTTACACCCTAAGAAAACAAAGAAATTACAGCTATGTATTAAGTCCCAGGCAAACAGTCAGACTTCAAAAACTGATTTCTTAAAATGACTGCTGCAGCTCACCTCCAGGAATTTGGCGTGCAGGGATTCCTCTGTGATGTCGAGCACCTCAGGGCTGTAAACACTGCCATTGTCATACACCTGCTGGATGATGAGTCCGAAGGAGAAGGGCGAGATGTTCAGCATGTTGAGGAGCGTGGCCTCACTGGCACCAACCTTGTCACCAGTCTTGATCAGGTTGACATCACTCTGGGAGAAAGAAAGAGGCATGTTTGGATTAGCATCCACACATTTCATTCAATTAAGTCTGGGGAACTCACTTTTACACAGAACCAAGCCAACAATATGTTTTCAAACTTACCAAGATTTCAATGGTTCCCCTTGAGATCTTGGTGGTGATACCCAGAGCCTGGAAGAAAGAGGTCTTCTCAGGACCCAGGCCGGTGTTCTGGGCAGGCACTGTCACACCACAGGGGGCGATGGCTCCAGCACGGGCAGCTGCAGGCACCTACAATATTGACAGAAATAATTTAGAACCATACTTTGCAAATGCAGATTTGACCATAACTGCGTGAGTCTTAATGCCCAGTTTGTGATTAAATGTCTGAAACCATACGTCCCTGGCAGTCAAAGGGAGCTGACAGACAGGGATAGCGAGGAAACAGATTTATGTTTGCAGGGGGAACGACAATACAGTACTGCACTGGCTGCATTGTAACTTATCCTGCACATGGACAATGGCTCAGTATTATATCAACTATGTTTCTCACATATTGTCCCTGTAATGTCACATTTTCCACCTTTCAGCCATTGCATTTAAGTCAATTACTTTTTACTCTTGTTTATTGTATTTTGGGATACAGAGGTTTCAAGTTCCCACTTTATTTTAGTAAAGCAAGTTTTAATGCTTGAATGTCCAACAACATGGTAGTTTGGACACAGTTTTGCTTAAAACAATGCACTTACGTGCATCAATTGCTGTTTGAGATAAGCATTAATATCGGATCAATTTAGAGACTACAACTTATTATAGTGTTAGTTATATGAGTGCATGAACACTGTCTACTCAAAAAAAGGAACACAAAGTTCAACTTCATTAAATTTGACAGTTAAACCAGGACTAACCTTGTTGACCAGCAGCAGGTCCCGGACCTCAGCCAAATCCTCCTTGGTGAAGACGAAGCCCACATTTCCTTTAATGTGGGGGACGAGCCTATTAAAATAATGGGATCAACTGTTAACCACACAGGCAGAGCATCATTTATATTAAGAGGAAAATTGAGTAAGTGTCTGAAACCATGCGTCCCTGGTTGCCGGAGTTGATTTAGACAGACAGGGATAGCTGGAAACAGGTTATTGTGTGCAGGGGGAACGACAACACAGCACCAAGCAAGCTGCACTGTAACTTATCCTGCAATATAAATTCTGACGGCTCAAGGTAAAAAAAGACTCACTTCTCCAGGGCTGGATTGTTCTCCAGGTGTCCACGGATGGCTTTACGCATCATGGTGTTTTTACCCATCAGCACCACGGCCTTGCCGCGCAGGGACATGCGGATGGTCTGCATCTGCTTGGAGCCCACATTGTCTGCCCCCACGATGAAGCATCTTGGATAGTCATCCAGAAGTTGCTACAAATCGAGGGCACAGCACATCAGCAGTGAAATCTAAACAAGAAATTTACATAAAGAGTATGAAAATAGAGACAAAACCAATTGAATATGCGTTAATTTGAAGGAATATGTGGGCTTGTATGCGCCAGATCATACTTACGATGATTTTAAGAAAGTAGTTGGACTTCCACGTGGCCCTGTCTTCCCTGGGCATCTTTGCAGTGCTTCCAAGGATCGCTAACAGCTGGTTTAAAGACAAGGTAGTATCTGTGGAGAGAGAAACTATTAGTAATCACAACCTAAAACCGATAACAATCGTGTACTAAGGATCCAGTCACGTGGTCGGCCATTCACGTTAGCAGGCTATTAGCTAGCTAGCGGAACTAAAACAGGCCGCACACGGTTAAGACGCACATCCGCACTTTACTTAGACACAAAACACACGTCAATATAAGTCTTAAACGTTAGTGTAATGAATCCATTAATCGAGTATAATGTAATGACACAGAACATTAATATTTTTCCACTAACTAAGACAAGGAAAGCTGGGCCTTACCGAGCACGAGGGTCGCGTGGAAGAAAGAGAACGATGATGGACGCCGGACTAATATATATACTCTGTGACTGACCAATCACAGTGGAGCTGTGGGCGGTAGCATCACAACTATTGGATGGTTTCAGTGTCAATCAAAAGCAAGGCAGGCGGCACCGGATGTGCTACAGAGAGGAAATGGGAGGACAGTCAAGATAATGAGCAAATCAGATGTCAGGGTGATAGCTTGGACTATAAACTGGATAGGTTTGGACTGAAGCCATAGAGCAGTGGCACACTACATAGGGGGGATGTTTATGTACTACTTATAACAATGATAACAAGTAATTAGTAACAGAACAAGGTGGTGGTTTATATTCTTATATTTGTGCTTTAATGCTGTGTGATGGTCAAATTTCTGTTAATTGGGTCATATTGTCCGCTTCTTTCATTTTTTCCTATTTTTTGCCTTTGATTCTTATTTTAACTTGTAAGGCACCTTGCAACTGTACATTGAAAGGTGCCATCCATGTAAATGAAGATAACTATAATAATAATAATAATAATAATAGCTTAAATTTATAAAGCACCTTTGAAGAGACCCAGGGACACTTCAAATATGTCCACGGGGACATAAGAGAAAAGAAAAGAAAAAAGTAATTAGCACAAATAGAAATAGAAATAAACAGCACCAATGGCAGGGTGGAGCATTAACTGAGGCCAAGACAACAAAATTATCATTATTAGTAGTAGAATTATCCATCCATCATCTATGCTCCTTTTTCATTGAGTCAGGAGAGGGGAGGTGAAACATATTTTTATAATTATTATTGTATCACTCAGATTGAACTGACTGATATGATCATGAGGAACAACATATAAAAGACTACAGAGGAAAATTAGTAAAATGATGGCAAACCAGAACTGTGATCACTTCTGATTGGATACATTGCAGACTGTGTTTTGTCTTCTTTTACTCGTGTGATGTTTATATTTGTTTCTGCTTGTGGTTGCTCGTGACGTGTCTGTAAGATGTAAATTAGAATTCTTGCTGGAATCTGATGTGTTCAAATGTAGTTTTTTAAATACTGATGTTCATTAACACGCTCTGTCCCTATGACATATATACATCTAATTAGGTAAAGAAAGACGCTCAGCTTTTAATCTGTAATGAATCTACTAAATGGGTTGAATAGAGAGATATTTATATATGTAGAGATATTATACGATACAGACTGGAATCAGTTAATCAGTGATTCACCATCCAAACCTGAAGGTGGCGGTAATGCAGCTGCTACATTAGTTACCATGTGCCGTCAAAAAAAGACGAAGAAGACAGTGAACGGATGAGTTGAATGTGTTTGTTAAAACTCTATTTCTTTCAAACAGAAACGACAACATGTTGAATGGATGAGAGGAAGACATTTAACTAAAGCCCACTGAACAAAACCATGGCTCAGCCTCCTCCTCCTCGGCTTCCGTCAGAGATGTGGAACCGCGTTTTCAGTTGCCTGTCGGCGGCAGACAGGTTGAACGTGCGGGCTTCCTGTAAGTACTTCAAGAAACTCGTGGACCACGGCTCCCTGTGGAGGGACTGGGCCGTGGTGCTGAGGTTTCCCAGCGGCTCCTACAACCCACAGTTCTGGGCCAGTCTGCGGCGCAGGAGGGTGAACAGCGCGGTGGTGAGGAGCTCCAGGGCGA